GTACTACAGCTTCAACCTCGTCTAGGTCTTATCAGCGTTCCGAGCAGGATTCAAATAATGACGGTGCAGTGCATAATCCCTACCCGTTAACCACTGCGCCACATTGCCACGAGTGCCCTTGAGTTACAGGGCAGATATTAATTTCAAGGAAAGCCAGGCATTTTTCCATATCATATTCTTTGATTGAATTGTTTATGAGGCAAAGTTATATTTGCTATGACAATTGGCTACATTACTTATTTTGCCTTTATAATTGTGTTATCGAGCTACCAGTAAATATTATATACCGTATTTATAGAAAAAGTAATGTGTAGTGACCCATCCCTAAACTTTTCCCATTCAATGTTTATTTTTGTTACATCCCGTACGTGGTCATTGCTCAGGAACATTAGACACAGATCACGTGAGTGTGGGCCTAGTCTTCAATCTTTATTTCGCGTCGACTAAGTAAAGCTTGGAAACACATCGTCCAATCAGGTGAAACGGAAAGCTACACAAGGGTATATCAAGTAGTTAATATACCGTTTAGGTTTGTCACATTTTCTTCCTTCTTTTCCATTCCTCTGCTGTGACCCGCGAAGTTAAGACTTCTATTTTGCGCCGCCTTTCAATGATTGCCTATTTATTGTCAGCCCCATACATAGGACATTTGGCAATACCTTTTTTCTTTTCTCTCTTCGTTTCAGGATCTGAAACTTTTTAGTCGTGGATTGCAAGCGTTTTATATTTTAGAGATAGTCCGCGTACTTTTTAAAGACAAAACAATGTATTCTATTGTGATAACAAATATAACTATGCTTTATCGACAATTCCATCAAAGAATATGAAATGGATAAATGCCTAGCTTTCCTTGATATTTACACATGCCTTATAACCCAAGGACACTCTTGGCAATGTAGCGTAGTGGCTAACGTGTCCAGATTATATGAATGGTTCGAATCCTGCAAGTGGTATTGATAAGACCTAGGCGGGGTCGGAACTGCAATCCACCCTGGATCAAGCACCTATTTGGAAAGCAAGGCTACATGAAATCGAATGGAAACGTAAGGTCTTCTCATATCAATGGCAAAATTAAGCTATCAATTTTTCATTACTTTAAACTAAATAAAGTGAATACATCCCACAACTGATTTACTTGTAGTCTCGAAATCCTCCTTATAAACGAAACATCTATGGCTTAGTAGTTGATTAAGTTTCCTAAGGAACGCTTGAATGCCTTGAAGAATTCTTTCAGATGGCGGACGAAAGCTCAGAATGAATTAATTCGGGTTGAAATACAACGCGATGAGGAATTCTTCGCGCAATCAAGTCAACTCAGAGGTTATTTAGTAACAATCCATGTACTCTATGATCCCTCACTTGTAGCCGAAGTGAAATACACTACATTATTTTTTTGCCCTTAAGAAACTATCCTTTATCATGTATCGAAGCCCTCGGACAAATATAGTTTAATAAATACTGTTTATATGGAGGTAGAACTGGATTTGATTCTTTTATCATTTATTTATTTATAAGGTTTTGACAAAGCTTGAGGAAAAGGTGAGTCTCTTCTTGCCTTTTCATAGAAATAAAAGTAAATCCAACACCAATATATAGTTTGTTAGTACTGGTAGCAGTAGAACCAATCACTTATAAATTGCACGTGTTTTTAAATAACGGCTTAATGTAATAATTGAAGCCTAAGTTTATTTATTTACTGTACTTAGTAATATCTTAATGCAGTTTACATATGGTCTGCTGTAAAATCTTTAAATTATAAGATAAGGAAATAAGTGATATTACTGTATACACTTTGACACCAACAATCCATTTAATGAGAAGCTTATGATTCTAAATCTCTTCTCCCCTTAAATATATTTTTTTATCATAGTTACAAATTAAGTGATGCAGAAGGCCTCTCGGTTGATTTATTTACATGATCATATTGCTTGCTTTTTCTATTACTTTAGTGCAAAGTGTTTGTAGTTTTTTTTGCTTTATACGAGAGTGAGGCAAATGCATTTTAGGGATTCGCAGCTCGTAAGCGTGAGCCCTAACTCTCAACACTTCTTTACTATAATCAGCTAATAATGTACTCAATTCAACCCCTTGCACAATTAACCTTTATGTAGAACTATAATTTAATGTGAGTTCTCGATTTGCCAAATAATCATGCTTATTTTTCTTCTACTTACATTCGATCAGGCAAATGACAAAAACCGTAATGAACACCTGGCAATTGCCTCTCCTCTCCTAAAAAGCATTTCTTCTGAAGTAAAGCCAGGTTCGCTTATTTATCTTCTCTCGCCGAGTACCGGAAGCATTTTGCCATTGTTCTTCATTGCTTGCCGGCCACGTGTAAATTCGGTCGTCGATGACAGAACAGACTGTACGATAGACCGAGTTACCTGGCTAGCTCTTTCATCCATCTGGGCTGGCCTGGAAACGCGCTCCATGGATCAAAATTTATCTCTTCATCTTCGACGACTGGATGCAATAGGCCTCTATAATGGCTTTTTGATGCAAATAGAAAATCGACCTCAACATCCATCTGCCATAAGCAACGACTTGCCTTGGTCTCATGTTAGATATATGGGTCGACTCGTCTCCATTTCTGAAAAAAATGAAAACCCCACTGTTGCGCAACTGCCGATCGAGGGTTCTCAGATGATCTGGCTATCAAATCGAGGTTTGCCGGGCAGGTTGACCTCTGGATTTAGAATAAACAAGAATCCAACAACCAAGATTTGGCAAATTCACCCTAGCTTGGACTAGACCCAATCTGCAATATGTATAAATGCTAGTACTTTTCTCATTTTTTTAGATTTTAAGGTCAACTCAAAATCAATGTAAATTCCTTATTTTATTATCATCTGGCCTACAACTGAATGTTAATATGGGTCAAATATTCAAGGCATTTTAATTGTTACTAATACCGTTACGTCGATAGAACTCGCTGTTTACGATCATTATGCGCACATGGGATCGGTCATTTGGATCTATCTTGTGATCAAGTAGCTTTCCATACAAGGAGGACGAACGGGATGGAATAGGTTTCGTTTTCTCCTGGAAATAAAAAAATTGAAGAAAAATTAAATCATTTTTCCTGTGTATATTTTTTATTTAGCTTCATAGTCATGTATTTTGATTAGCAAAATAAGTGGTTTGTGAACCTAGAAGATAATTTTTATTTTGACAAAAAGAGTAAATAATTATCACAGAAATGGTTTCCCCCATTCCCTAAGTTAGTTCTAATCATCTCAAATTCCCAGGTAGCTTTTTATTTGTATTCGGTATCTTTATATATGGGGTCTATTAGCTGTAATTCTTTTTCCAAACTCTAGTATACCTAGTGTCTCAAGCGCTTTCTGATTCGGTGTAGGAGGTATTTTAAACACCAAAGCCCTCTAAATACCTATAGCTGAAGTTTGTTGAGTATTAATTTCGTGTGTGTGATTGTGCCAACGGTTTTGTAATTATTTTTACTCAATAGTCTGTTTTGTTACTTCTCTTAACTCACGAAATACTAGCCGGTTCTGCTGGGACTATGCAAACCTAGTAACCACACCGAATCTCCCTATTGAATCAATTAGAACATGGAATTAGAAGTAAAATAGTATTTTATGGATGCAATCCATTCTCGACACTAAGCCGCAACTCATCAGAGACTCAATAACGATGTTGATGAAGTGTCTGACAATGTACCAAGTCCACCTTCCAACGCTTGGAAATATGATAACTAATATAGCAGAGGACTTCCGTCAAGGTGAGTTCAACTCAGTCGCACCCAGAACATGATAAAATCACGAAAACGAGGTCAGATCGCATCTAAGAAAATTCATTCATCTGGCATTCAGTCTGGGTCCTCATCCAAACTGGCTTCTTTTTAAATTTTATCTCAGCCATGCATATAATACTATCTTCCCGCAAATTTACATAACTATAGCATCTTTGTATATAATCCACATGTAAGAGTTAAAAGGTCCGTGCTTTAACAGCTTATATCACAACAAACTAGTATCATTTGAGTTAGGAAATTTTTACGCTTTTCTAAAAATAAGTTCGAGTCATTTAACAAGCATATGAGTCACATTGCTTCACTATTAGCAGACCACCTCAGACGCCAGCTTCAATTCCCCATTATCAGCTCATATTAGTTCTAACAATGTTCGCTGTGCCCTTATATTTTTCGAGCTTCAGATAGCTAAACTTGTGTACTCTCTGCAAATAGTTTTATTTTATCTTTAATTTTTTGGAAGATGCCCTAGTAATAATGTCTCAAAGAGAGCGCATATACTCTTTTCTCTTTTTTTATGGAATACACTAGCTAAATGCCATTCTTGCATATTATATGGATATTATTAATTACTGAGTATATTTTAAATATATTACAAGTGACTGCTTGCTTAATTTGAATAAAGATGATTTCAATTTTTTAATTGGACATAAGCTTCAATTCGATATTTATAAAAATGATAAATGGAAATTTATGTGATAAAAGAATATTATATAATCTGGGAAAGGTTGCAGTAAGTATAAAATTATTTTAAGATATAAATAAATCGGCACTATCAGTAGATGAAGAGTAATTTGATTATGATGAATCTCTTGATTTAACATTATTTTTAAGACTTTTATTTCGTATGAAAGTGTATGAAGAAAATATTCGAATGTAGATTTTACCAGAAGAGGACGGTTGAATCGCGTTTTACTGCAGTCGTTTGGCTTTTATACGACGGCAAATTATGTTAACAAATACAAGAACTAGCGATGGGATCTCATCTAACGACAAATTAAATGGCAAGACTGTAGGAACACTTCCTGGAAGAGGCAATACTAGCCACCAAATTGATGGCCACATAGATGGATGACTATTTTGCCATCTGGCCTTATGGTAAGGAAAGTTTAGAAATTTTCCTACTTTCCCTCAACCAGCGTAAAGGAACACTAGGTTCACGATGAAAATTGAAGAGAATAAGTCCTTACCATTGCTGGATGTTCTCATTATTACAGAAGAAAGTAAGGTAGGAAAATGTGTTTATAGGTAGCCAATCATAGGTATAAAATTAAGGTTGGAATTTAGATGTCAATGCTTATTAGGAGTATGAGGCTAGCGGATAGCAAACATTTGACTAGAGTTGGAACGGCTGACAAATTTATTCCTGGAAAATAATTATCCTTTGGGGCGCTTTAAGAATAATATCTCTTTACTTAGGAATAAATAGTCAAAGATAGACAAGCTAAGACCATTTCCGATATTCCAATTTACCATCATGCCTTCTTTCAAAAAAGAAAGGCGAATTAGTAAGGAAGTCGGGGAAAAAACAATGTTCGAAGGAACCCTTACACCTTCGTCTGATAACCATATTTTAAAAAGAAATATGATCCATTATCGAGATCCGGCTGCTACAAGATTGTTTGCTCATGTGATCGATCTTATGTTGGTGAGACATGCCGACCTATTCGACAAAATGCTTGAGTTTACTTTCATTTTGTGAAAGTGTTGTGTGAAGAGATTATAAGGTTGGTTCCAATGGAAGACGACGGTGGATTCCTCTTGACCAGCTGTCGATTTGCCTTACTGGAAGGTTCATGCTGACGCTGTTTTCTTGACCCTAGCTTGAATTTTGTAGTGACGATGATAACTCTTACTGATGATGTCCGTCATATGACGGACGAAAGCTTAGCACATTTTCACCGGAATCGAAGGAGATTACCGGAATCTTCTAGTAAAGTCAATCGAGGAATCCGCCGTCGTCTTCTGGTGGAACCGACCTTCGAATCTCTTCACCCAATACTTTCACTTGAAATGGAAGTAAGCTCAACAATTATGAAACAAGAGATTCCTTGAAACCCAACTTTTCTTCGCATACAAAAATGCCTGAAAGGGAATCTGGGTCTAATGGTCATGAGTAGCCGAACACATGGTATAAAGTGGACATGGGATTAAATAGTCTCACTGGTTTGTTTGCTGATTGTGATACCTTTGGGGTTAAAATAAAGATAAGAGGGGCTATTGAAATTAATAGATTAGGTAATACGTTGAATATGAATAACGGTGGAATAAAGTTAAATACGAACCACTTATGCCTGATTGATGGTGTTGAACCATCATCTAATAGGTGACTAGAATAAAGATAATTAAAAAACATTCCATATCGGTCTATGTTTTTGCTTAAATGAGACTATATGAGGTAAGATAGATCCGGATATTATTCTTGTCTTGGTGTATACCTAAGAATTTCACAAGAATAAGTCTCAGCTCCGATGATGTCCATCATATGGTATACGAAAAATCTCAGCTCGTTTTCACTGAAAAGAAAGAGGTCTCGTGAACTGCATTAATCTCAACGTCATATAAAAGCCAAGCGGCTGGAGTACAGCTAAATTCAACCATCCTCTTCTGGTGAGATCGACCTTTTAATCTCTTCATACATTTTCATACGAAAAGAAAGTCCTAACAATAATATTATAAATATATACATAATGATAATATAACACTTCATCGGTTCATAATAACATCTAGATTAAATTAATGTCTTAGGATGTCTTGGCTTCTAAATTATAATTCAGGATGAATTCTAGCCTCATTATTTTAATCTATTTTGCCATTTTATGACTGTTTTCCATGTGTTTATTTTATTTCCGAATCAATACACTTAAAACATGCACTATCAACTCATTTTACAGGTTTAACACTAATATTATAGTCGTAAATCCCTTAGTACTTCTTAATTTTCACGGGTTCTTCTAAGTCAAATTATCTTGAGAATTATTCTTGACTGTTTTTCACATTTGTGAAATCATAGTGAAATTTGAAGTGCGCTATTGCTTGCATTCATAAATTAAAAAAGTCACATTGGCAGTGGACAAGTAATATATTTACTTGAACACTAAAGTGCATTAATTGCTTGAAATTAAAGAAAATGACGTGAAAATGCGATTGGGTAGGCAACTTACTTTAAGGAGGCACGTCAAACAATCCTGTATGTAAGGCGACTAGACATTTATAATTTTATACGCGAAAGTAATATTTAATATTATTTCAGAAAATTAGTATTGAGGCTACTACTATTGTCGGGTACTGCTGAGTTCAAAATGTTGAGATTCTCTCCAAATTAACTTATGAATATTCCTTAATGGAGTCAATAAACATTTAATCGCTGAGTAATATTGAATTTGAGATGTAAAGCAGAGAGTTAAATCAACGATATTTGAATTGCTTTGATAGTGACCAAACGATACTTCAAAATTGAAATAAAAGAGGTAATTTGAATCATTATTTAAAGATGAATTAAAAAGACCACAAATATGAAGTCATATTGGCTATGACATCATATTACGATAATTTGTATATGGATATTCCAGCACCTAATATAGATACAAGCATATGCATTATAAGGAATATAAATTGTTATCAATGGAATAGCATAACGAACCTCTGCATTAATATTCAGACCAGTCATTTTGTCATGTCTTCTATCACAGCGGCGCAATTTTTCATTGATTCCACTTTCGCGATGGAATACAGTATCATATACAAAACAATCGTCTTTTGCCTATTGATAAAAAGTTTATCGTAATTGTTATAAACATTTCAAACGTAATGTAATCAAAAAATCTTTTATATTGATTAAAATTTTGTATTTGGATCAAATTACGCGTTATGATGGAATTCATACATGTGTATAGTTAAATACTGAGTCCCAGACATACTTTCTTATAATGATATGTATTCACCCTATTTCGTCTAAGGTGATGAAGGATTGGTAGTAGAATTTTTCCACTATGATATGAGCTGAGCTGAG